CCCCCCCCCCCCCCCCGCCCCGCCTCGCATCTTTTTCCTGCCCTAGTTGTCTAGCTACCCTTGCATTTGTTGACGTTACCTTCTACATTGGCATTTCTTGACCCTTCATGCTCCACCGGCAACGACGATTCCACGCGGCGGAACGAAACCAAAAATACAACTTCTTCAAAAATGGACCAAGGTCAAGTGGTTCACCCGAAACGCCAAGGATTACACCGACAAGTACGGAGCCGCTCTTACCCCGCATATCGTCGGTGGAGTGAGCGCTCACAAGTGTGTGCTCGATGGCGAGGTGAGGGACTGGCTTGCCGAGGACTGGGTGACTCGACGTTGGTCCCAAGTTAGGTGCGTTGTTTTTTTATTCGAGAGAACAGGCGTGTTTCCTACCCGGGATTCGGTCTTATCAAAGATGCCATTGCGTCATCTACGAGCAGAAAATCGACGAGCTTTTGGTTTTCGGTGATGCTTTCCAGATGCTGTACGCTGAGCGATTTTTGTATGATTTTAGATTTCCGCACGTGGGGTTGTAAGACGCGCAACGAGAGAACGGTACACATGGGCAAGCAGCCCGAGGCCAAACTATGACAACAAAGCGATTGGCGATGGTGCGCGCGTGCGTTGACGACACTGACGGCAACACCATTACTATGTACTTTCAATCGTAGGTGGTGCTCATGGGTGTGCTCACCACCGTTTCACACCTCGTATCGTGCTGCCAGCAACGCCAGTATTCTATTTCAACCAGAGATGCTGTACGTGAGTCCGCTCTCTGTTTACCTCTCCACCGTCTTGCACGGTGAAGGTGGTTACCTGGGACGACAAGACTGGCAGCATGGTGCCTTTCGGGTCCAACAGGACATACGCAAAGGAGGAGCTCGAGGGCAGAGGCGGTGGTAAGTCGGCGTTCCGGCCCGCCTGCCTTTCCTCCCTTGTGGGATTTATTTTTGGCCTCGCTATGATGTACATGGTGCTTGGCACCCCACTCGCCTCTTTCCCCACAGTCAATCTACCCCGCGTGTGTTGGCTTCTTACTCAAGCTGTACCCCGTGCGACTTTGACTTCCACCTCCTTGCTTGCGTTATCGCTAACCGTGCTGACCGTAATACGAAGGCACGCGTTGGCTCTTCTACGTGGTGTTCGATGTCCTCTACGCCGAGGGTTCTGGCGGCGGGCTGGAGGACGGGGGGACGATGGATGAGATAGTGAGGGACGCAGTGAAAAGCAGTATTGCGCCGTGTCCCCCGCGTAGCGAAGTCCAGGCCGGTAATCTCACGGTGAGTGAAGGGATGCTGAAGTATTTCCGCCAAAGCTCAGCTCAAACATATCTCTTGCTGACTGGTGAAGAGGGTATGACGTACGAATTCCCCCGGTTTTCCCCTCCAACGTTCAGAGGGGCTTGGTATTTGTCAACATAGTGTCGCGTAAGGTGTTAGTTCGGGTGGTTGGCACCGTTGTGAGTGATGGGAGTCGATCTCTATCTTCAATGGAGGAAAATCTATTCTCTCTCCGTGTGCAATTTTTCTTCCTGTGTGCACGTGCGTTTGTTGGATGAGCCTCTGGATGCTTTCTGGAGACCAGACCGTCGTTTCGTTTCTCTCTGCTGCGGCTTGTGCTGTTTTGGTGGCGTTGAGTGGCTCAGGCTCTTCCACTGGACGTTCGTCGAACGGTACTTCGATCGATCGTGACGGAAAATGAGCACCGCCTGGAGTTCGTCAAGAGCTGGGAGGTGAGTGTTTGGTCTGCCTGATGTGGTTTTGATTGTTTGCCACCTATTTGTAGGCCACACCTTCTTTTTCCGGTTGCCCTGCAAAGGGTTCCTTTATAGATTTTGAAAGAGCGCCATCTCTCGCTGTTGTGGTACCGGCTCCGAGCGTCGCCCAGTCCTGTGTGATGCCGTGTCTGGCTGAGTAAACCTCAGAGACAAGACCCCATGGGAAGCATCGGCATGTTCAACAGGCACACTCCGTTCATGTTGTTTGTTTTTCGTGGAACGTGCCGAGCGGGATAACAATGACCTGTAAATAGGTGGCCCACGCTGGGCACAACGGAGTCGAATGTGTGACGACCAAAACATGAGCAGCAGCAACAACAACAAGACCGATGGTTCATGTTGACGCTATTCTGAACGCTGAAACTGGCCCGTTTTTATTAGGTCCCCGCTGGGGACGAGGTGGAACGCAAGAAACAGCTGGATGAGTGCTTCGAGCAGCGCGCGATACACCTCAACGAGGAGGGTTTGGTGGTCAAGGACCTGCACGGCCACTACATGGTGTGTGTGTGTTTGTAGGCTAACATGGCTGACGTGTATACCGATGCATCTACGCATAGACGGTGTGTAGTTTCAGTGGAATCTTACTTTTCCCTTTGTACGCAGCTTGACACACCCATCCCTCTCTGGGAAGGTTCTGCATATTTTTTTGGTGGAGGGGATAGTTAATGCGCCGCGTGGTGTCGCTCCGGTACTTGCACGTTTGTCGATTAACGTACGTTGCTGAAGCCAAACAGAGGTTGTGTGCAAGATCGGCCTAGAGAGTGTGCGACACAAACCTCAGAGTAGGACACGGCGTGTCCTTCGAGTTGAGGCTGTCGATCAAGGTCCAGGACAGGCACGTGGTTGTGATCTCTTCTCTCTAGCGGATGGTTTCGGGTCGGAGGACGCTTTCGACTTGTTGTTGAGGTCCCGTGTTGTTTGATAGTTATTTTTTTGCGTCTGTTGAGTACCGGGCACATCAGCGTAAAGTTAGTTAGCAGTCATGATTGGTTGATACGACCGAGAGGAATGTATTGTTACCTATAGTGCCAGTGAGACATTTGTGTAACGTAGCTGTCGTAGCCGTGACTGGGTCACTGGGCAACCATCACCCACTGCATCCTTACCTAGCCCCGCTTCCTTCTTTGCACACGCTGACGGTGATCAAAAAGAATTTAGAATACCAATCTGCGAAGGACAACGTCGGGATCATGTATTCCATGGGTGGTAGCTGGACCTGTTTTCGAGCATGAGATTTGGTTGTCGATGCCGACCCGTGAATTTGTAGCAGATGGGTGCGGTCGCCGTTTGGATGTATGCGATGGTATCGACAGTCATGCTTTCTTGCACTTGCTGATCCGTGGCTCGTCCCACATTGTGTTTCCCAACTTGAATGAAGCACGCCATTCACCGTGCGAACTGGTCATGTCAATGATGGTGTGGTGTTTGCTTTTGTTCTCCACCGCACGGCACTACACCATCTGCCTGCCTACGTGCGCCCTTGTTAGTGTAGAAAGCATTTTGCCCTATTGGAACAAAAGAAAAATGCGCAGATTTGCTCGCCGTAATGTCCTTGCGTACCTTTGCCAGACCGAAGCCCTAGAACCGGACGCATGTCTCATGGCTGCAGTCCCCTGCTTGTTCGCCGTGTTTACCATCGCCAGATCGGAGACAAGAGCAGGAACACCCCGCTATGGATAAAGATGAAGCCGGAGTACTCGGACCAGACGGAAGACATGGACCTCCTCATACTCGCGGCCGGCTTCGCGAACGGCAAGATGCGCTCCGGGATGCTCTCCAAGTTTCTGGTGGGCGTCGCCGTGCCCAACGAAGACGGGCAACCACGGAAAGAGTTTTACCCTCTCGCCAGGGTGAGTTAGACGTCCGTGTTGCATACCGCAGAGTGTGGTCCATCGAGAAGGCAATGACATCCGCGCGACGCACCAGCCTCCTTTTCTCACTGATTTGTTTCCGTGCGCCTCGTTTGCGGCGGTGGCCTCCTTCTAATCCTCTGCTGTCTCGGTATTGTGCTACATTATGTTTTGTTCGGGAGTATCGCAGTCCTTGATCGTGTTGGAAAGTGCAGGCGGAGGCTTTGTCTCTGCCGCGTGCGAGGCTCGAGAGATCGACCAATAGTGGTAGGAAATCTTTCTAGCGACAGCAATCCTTACCCTATGAGGGTGCAAGGGATGCTGTTCATTTGATGATGGACGGGGTTCTCTGGGCGTTTTGGTGTTGGACGATTGGTGGTAAGCTGCTGAGGTATTTTCCATTGTTGAGTAAGAACATTGCGTTTTAGAGATATCCTGCCAAAAAAACTATCTGGCATCCTGAGTTTAGGTAGTTGCCGGTTTCAGCGCGTGTCATTGTAGTAGGTATCGGGCGTGCGTCCTCATGGTACCGGCTGTCACTGAAGGTTCATGCTTGTTTTTTTTCTTTTTCCCAGAACTATCCCTTGTCCTGACCTCCCTTTGATGCACCTAACAGTAAAATCATGCGCGGCGTCTGTGCGTGCTATTGCCTTTGCAACGGGGGGTCAGGTGGGCACCGGGTACTCAATAAACGAGCTTGAAGACCTGAACGAACTGCTCAAGGACAAGTGGAAGTCGTTTGATACGTGAGTCGCGACACCAGACTCCATGAAGCGAGCACAAAACGGATCTGTTCCGCTTTGTCTGTGGGCAGTTGTTTAGCCTTTCGCCGAGGTTCAAGCCAGACGAACTATTGTACCGCACTAAGTCGGGAGGTACGAATCGTAAAGGTTCGGGTGTTGTCGTTGGGGTGGTGCATTGTTTGCATCTTTTTTCTTCTGTCGTGCTATTGTTGGGTTGCACCTCTCGAGAAAATGCACCCACGCCGGGTTGTCTTGGTTTTCTTCGAAACGAACATTGCGCGTGTTGTCAACAAACTACAATAGTCCTGTGGGGTATGTAACGCTTCACCTAGAGCGGAGGAGGGGAAACTCCTCACGGTACGATCCCACGGTAGCTTGCCAATGGCAAACGCCGAAGATAACCAGGCACAAACACGCTTGTTCGCGCCATGATAGTGGGTTGCCGAAAGTACGCACGCCGGGACCGACGAACCGAACAGATGGACGGCAAGAACTGAGACGAAAAAATCGCCGCCCAAGCTCCCCACGTGCGCTGGCTTTCTTTTCCTTTGCTGACACGGCGCGAAAACAATCCACGAAACGTAGACAACACCCATTGACGGCAGGAGCGCCCCGACGCACTTCAACGCACATCGCACGGTGATTAAGAAAGCGAGCCGGGATGGGGTACCCTTGACGAAGTGGATAGCGGCGGAAGACTCCGTCTGCCTTCAGGTCAAGTGCATGGAGATCGTCAAGGCCAGCGATTGGCCAGGGGTCTTCTGCACCATGAGGTCCGTCATATTTCCCTTCATTTTCTGTCTCTAGGCGCGTACACGCGTCGTCTGCGCATAAAATATATCGGTTCGCGCGTTGGCGTTGGGTGGCTTTTGGTTGGTCGGGTTCATCGAAGCTGCTCTTTTCTCTTGCCAGGAATGTTTTGCTTTGTGCTCGGAGGACCCTGAAGTGCATTTTGCGGCGAGGCAGGGCGGTACCAACGTCTTGGAGACTCAAGTTTCCGTTTTCGTTGGTGCAGCAAGTCCCCGAACCAACCCGCAGCAGTCACACCGATCTCATGCGAATCACTCCTGCCTAGTCCAACTGGCCAAGCAATAACAAGCCGACGACGACAACGACAACACCATCCGCGCCATAGGTCCATCGTAGGAAAATCTCTCCCTGACAACACCGAAACCAATCCTCGGCCAGGTTCCCTCGAGTGACCCACATCCGGAAGGACAAGGGCTCCGAGGGCTGCATGGATACCACGGAGCTGGCCGCCATCCAAGCCCGCCCTCGGCTGTCCGCGGCCCCCGGCGGTCCCCGCCACCAGAACACCCAAGGGGGACACTCAGGCTCGGGAAGCAGGAGGAACGGCGGCGACGGTGGAGGCAAGAACAGGGGGCGGACGGGGGGTGGGAGGAAGGTGTCCGAGCTATTCGCCACTGCTGGGGGCGACGAGGTTACGGTTAAGGAGAAGGTGTTCGTGGCGGCGAGCGGGAGGACCGCGCTGGAGTTGTGCGTTGTCGGAACCGGCTTTTCTGGGGTGAGGAGAAAGGGATGGGGGGAGGGAAGGGCATGGAGGCTTCGTTTCGCCGGTGGTGGGTTCTTTTTTCGTACTGATGCCCCCCCCCTTGCGCGCAATAAGGGGGGTGAGAAAGTTTCCTGCCGTACCAAAAGGCTCTTGGCTCATCTTGCAAGTACCCCGTAGCAACACGGCGAGCGGGGACCCGATCAGCCTTTTTATGTGGAAACACACACAATGGGGGGGTTAGCTTCACTTCTGCTCCAGTGGGTATGTCATAACGTCCCCGTCCTGAAAACCATGGTTTAACACGTACGCTATCGCACGGTTCTGAGCGCGCTGGGCCGTGCCGCTTGTGTGGCGTTGTGTTCGGTAGTTTTTTTTTATTCGTGTGGGCACGTGTACGTCGGGCTTCTTGCGCCCGTCGCGACCCCTCCCGGCGATGGCAGGTGCACGTCCCCGACGTCAACACGATCGACGTTGATGCCTGGTGGGCGCCTGCGGGATCTACAAGAAGAAAGGCCGAAGGAGGTCATGAGGGCAGGACCAAGCAGGACATCGAACTTCTCATCCGTGAACACGGGGGCACGTGAGATGGCTCACTCGTGTACAGGAGTAAGATAGTTCGCTGGAGCGTAAATTGTTTGACGCAGATAACCGCCATGCTTGTTTTCCTTATTGTTGCGAGCGGTTCTCGGGACCGCTCTTCGGCTAGTAGATCGTCGTGAACGCGCACAGCCGGAGAAGCTACTGCAGACTACCCCGACACCGTACTCAGTGTAGACAGCCGGAGTCTGTGCTTTTATGTGTTGTGTGATGTTGGGTGGTAAGGGGATAAAGCAACCAGTTCTTCCACAGGTTTCTGTCTGCGCTGGGTACCTGCGAGTATTGGTTCCTTTCTGCTCCTTATCCATCGAACAGACCGGATCGCGCGCACAATGCAACGGCGTTCCGGTATAATAACCAGCCGAAGAGTTGTGTGAGCTTCGAAGCTCACCCCCCCCCGTCCTTAACGTAATTTGAGCCCACTGTAGCCCACGGCGCGGCGTTCCAATAAACCGCACAAACATTTACGCCGTACCTTGTTCCCGTTGAATATCCGCCTTTCTTCCGTGTCGTAACTCCTGTCTGAACGCCTTTTTATTGGGATTTTCGGCGGCGGCGGCGGCGGTGGTGGCCTCGGCAACAATCAGGGTGACGGCGAACCCGATGCCCACGACGTCGTTCGTGGTGGTCGGAGACACGACCTCGGTCTCGGTTAAGAACCTGATCGCCTCCCCCAAGAAGGAGTACAACGTGGTGGGGTACCGCTGGGTCCTGGAGTGCATCCACCAGAAGGCGTACAAGTTCCCGTCCATGGAGCACGTGAGATGACGACGACAAAGACAGAGAGAGAGAGAGACAGGGAGAGAAAGAGGGGTCACCTCCTTGCGTTGCTGTTGGCATTGACGGAGGTTACTATTGCACCATTCCCCACCCGCCCGCCTAGCCCGCCATCCTCTCCCCCTATCTACTCCCGATGGGCGCGATATGCATTATTTAACGGACTAATCTGCAAATATTGATTGATTGCGATCTGACGATTTGGCTATCGATCAGGTGCGAGCCTTATCTCCTGAAGCTCGTGAGTACTTCGAGGCCGTCAAGGACGACTTCGGCGACGACTACACGGAGCTCACGGATGCTGCACAATTGTCCAAGGTAGAACCAGCGCTTGGGTATACTTTTTAGCATCACCATCTACCACAGTTCGGTTTAGTGAGGAAAGTGGCTTGTCTCGTCAATGCCTCCGAACTCGTTTCTCACGCTGACCGGGTGTCGACTTGTTTTTGCTTGATCTTGCAGAATCTTCGGTGCTTATGCCGTTTCATGGCCGAGGCGATGACCATTTCACGTAAAACAGATGTGTGCGGGTTTCGATTGCAGTTCGGTATTTTGTTGTGTCTTCGACTGTTCATCGATCGATAACGTGATCTCGAGACAGCTGAGGCAATTGTGAGCATGCTACGTGGCGTGTAGGTCTTTGCTTCGTTCTACGCGAGGCGTAGGTAAAATATTTTTCAAAGGATCGTTCACCAGTCGTGCGTCATGTTTCGTCTACATTCTGCACAAGAGGGCAGGGCGAGCGTGGCGTATTCAAGGGATGTGAGTGTATGGTGGCAAGCGTTTCCAACCCCGCCCCCTCCCCACCTTTCCTTCGCAATCTTTCCTCGTCTTGCGGCTCAAAATGCTTCTCGCTTTTGCTTGAAGCTGATGCTCAACATCCCCCCGACCAAGAGAGCATGTCAGGGCGGCGGGAAGTGCGCGACGCCGTCGTGGCTGTCACCGCTTCTGGAGCTGGACGACGAAGACGCCGAGACGCTCATGCATGGACCCGACTTCCTGTTCGCCGGAAAATGCCACGTGTACTGCGATCTGTTCACAGTGAGCGGCACCACAATCGGGA